ACTTGTGACAGCATTTTATAAACCCTTCCCTTCAAAGGCTAACTCTCCAAATGGCTACTAGCAGCTATAGACAGCAGGTTGTCAACAGAGCCCTGCAAATGTAAGGCTTAAACATAAAGAGCTGTGAGGTAAGTGTAGCACAGCTGTTTTCTCTGGGGGCTCACCAACAAAGCATGTCTTTGGGTATTGTAACTTGATTTTCCCTTCTTACTGCAGGCACTGTGCTGTCTTTGCTCTAATTATAGAATCAGAAAATCACAGCATCATAGATGCATAGATTGGCTGGGTTTACCTCTATGGATCGTCTGTTCCAACACCTTTCTCACAGGCATAACATCTTCCACTTGCTCAAAGCCCCGTTTAACCTAACCTTGAACACTTTCTGTGATGGGGTATCCACCACCACTCTGGGTAATGTGTTTCAGTACCTCATGACCCTCACAAAAAAAAAAAAAAAATCATTATAATGTATAATCTAAATCTACCTTCTTTCAGTTTGACACTGTTGCCCCTTGTCCTGTCTCTACAGACCATGGTAGGAAGTCTCCTTCTATCTTTTTCACAAGTCCCCTTTAAATACTAAAAAGCTGTAACATGTTCTTTCTGGAGTGTTCTCCAGGCTGAACAGTCCCAACTCTCTCAGTCTGCTTTCACAGGAGAGGTGCTCCACTCCTGTGACGATCTTTGTGGCCTCCTCTAGACCCACTCTAACATATTTTCCTGTGCTGGGGCCCCAGAGCTGGATGCAGTGCTCCAGGTAGGCTTGTACTAGAATGAGGAGAGTGGCAGAATCCCCTCCCTCACCCTGCTGACCATACTGCTTTTGGTGCAGCTGACTTTCTGGATTGCAAATGCACATGGACTCACGTCTGTTTTTCCATCCTCCAGTATCCCCAAATCCTTCTTGGCAGGGCCTCTCTCAAGCACAACACCCCCCAGCCTGTATCAATATGGGGGTTGCCCTGACACACAGGGCCATTCTCAGAATGATGGGGCTCTCATCTGAAGGGGCATTCAAGTCAGACCCATAAATCCAAAGGCCATTCAAAAAGCTATCAATATTTTGACATATATTTTAACGGATATGAATATTTCTCATCAGCCTTGAAACTTCAGAACTCCATGTGAGAACTACCAGTCCTGCATATAAGCTGTTAAGTCAGTTTGACCTAAACTCATTTGTTTTCATGAAAGAAGAGGGTGGCTGCAGTTTTTTATCATACGGAAATGTCTTATGTGAGTATAGGGAAACTCACACAATGCTCTTAGGGTCCAGACTCATCTCTAAAGTAACTTCTGTGGAGCAGTGACTGCAGATCATGTGTGGTTAATATGCGCAAGTGTTGGCTGACACCAGCAGACATGCCTGGGAGAGGCTCCATGTGTAACCTGGAAAGGTGAGAGATGAGTTCCAAGCAGTAAGAGCTGTCTGTAATCAACATTAGACCATCAGCCAAATCGCATCAAAACTCTTTATTTAAAGACATTACCTCTTAGTCTTAAACTTCCCTTCCCAAATTTATCTTACTCCTCCAAACTTTAGAGGTGAGAATCCAGGTACATGAATAGTGATTCTGTTGACATGCAGTATATTTTACCACAGCTCCGTAACCTTTCCTGGACCAGGGCAGGATGCTTTTATTTTTCAGATCTGTTTCTTAGAAGAAATTATCTATGGATTTCAGTTCCAGCTGAAGCACTGGGCTACTGCTCTGCATAGTGGATCATGTTATCCATGTAGAGCAACTGGGCCTTGATTTTGTACCCAACACAGGTACCATGGCTATTTCCTGACCCCTGGCTCTGGCCCATCTTTCCACTCCCCCTCCACTGTTTCTGTACTGTTTACACAGTGAGATCTATGTGCCTGGGATTATCTTTCACATTGCTTGTGTATAGGATCAAAGTCTGAGGTAGCCTGTCGGCCTTTCTAGAGTGCAAAACAGCTCAGCTGAAATTAATTTATACTGAACACAGACCATTGGAGGTGAACTTGGTATTGCATGATTTTAGGATTTATTTTACTGCTGGCCACTTCAAGCACCTCCAAACTGGCCAATACATCAGTTTCCTCTCCAATGAATGTACCTAGAAGCCTAAGAGGCATAGCTGCACAGGGGTAAAGCAGCTGTGTAATAGGAAGCGCCAAACCTTTGGGTGTCACGCTGAAGACAGCCTGCTGGGTGGTGCTGCATTGGTCTGCAGGACCATTTCCCATTTGCTTGACCTGTGAAAATTGCTCAAAATCAAAATCTGGCTGCAGTGGCTGTGTTATGCTTATTTGGTCCTTAATTAGAGTCCTAGAGAGAGGAGATCCTTGGTTAAGGAAAGATATTGAGCAGAAAGGATTCCTGAGTGAAGAACTGTACTTAAGCTATGTCAGTTTGGGCTAAACTGCTAAGAAGTCTGCTAAGTTACTGACAGAGTCATTCTTCACAGCTGTCAGCCCTTATCCATACTCTAGGAGGATCATTAATATGACTAAAATGGAGCATCTGTCACTCTCGTGTTAACACGGAGCATACTTACCATAAATTCTATTTGACGGGAGCTGGGTGGTGAATGTTTAGTGTTTGCTTCAGAGAATGGTAAAGTTTTACTACATTTAACTTTTGCCACTGTTGCAAGCTTTTCCAAAATGTTTTGTATCATGCATTTGTAATGAGAAAGTGACATGCATTTTCTTGCTACTCAGTGTCAGGATGAAGCAAAAGAGTGGCAAAATAACAAAAGCTGGGGAGACAAGCAAGTATCTACCACATTTTCATTGCAAAGCTAATAAAATCATGTTGGCATAATTAAAAATCTCTTGCTGCTACACTCAAAAGCAATGTGAAAATCTGGATAGAAAAAAAAACCAAAATCAAAAGACATGACGTGTGTATTCAAGAAACTATTTTATAAACATTTGAGTTAAGTTTAAACTGTTTAGTTGAATAAAGCAATGCTCTGAAATTGCATATTGGTGGAAAATTGTCTGAAGAACACCTAAGCATCCTCTCTAGCCATAATGATTTTATAAAACCCAGATGATTTTATCAGGTTTTAGTTGATGAGTTTTCCAGTCCTACAGTAATGTATCTCTAGTCCTTTTTATAATGTCATGGCTTATTTCCAAGTCTCACAGATATTGCAGTGGTTTGGGGTTTTTTGTTTTGTTTTGTTTTTTGCCTCCTTTTAATTTCTCTTGTGACCTTCAAGGTAGAGAAAAGATTAATATTTTTGTTTTGAAATGGTCAGAACAACTTTTATCCTGGAGTCTGCTCCAGCTTCTGTTAAGGTGGTTACTTGACACTTAGATTTCAATTTTCATGCTTTCACACTCTTTATTTTTGCTTATTAACTCTAGATTATATTAATTTCCTCAATATGTATTATTTCTTGTGTGGTAACTTACAAAACTCTTAAGTAGATTACCCCTGCATTACCCTGGTGGATTTTGTATCAAAACATGTTGTTACTATTCAAATAAATGAAGATTACATGGCCCAAAGTCCTGAATCTAGCACTGTGGAAACTGAACTTGAAATAATTAATTTAAAATCTAGAGGTGGAATTATAAAGCTCAAAGGAAATTTGCTTAATTCTGGAAGCATATTTTCAGAACTCCTCTTGGCTTTGAGCTGGAATAGATGTGTTCTGTAAAAAATAAGTTCCCTTTTGTCATTTTAAAGAAATAATTTTGGGGTGTTCTAGCTTGACACAGTCTTATTCCAGAGCATCCTTTAGTCACCACATAACCATGCATGTGCAATGAGGAACTGGGATGGAAGTCACTTCCTGGCATATTTTCTTCCCTGCTCTCTATGATTTTTCCTCATTCTGATTTACTTTATGAGAGGAATACTAAGAAGGATCTAAACTATGTGGGAAGCAAACAAAAGCTTATTCCAGGGCTATGGCTTTAATTTTTAAAATATGCCAAATCTGACTCCCTGTTTTGCACCTCCCTGTTTGAATGAATGAGAGACTGGAAAATGTTTCCCTTAGCTCAGTTCAAGCTCTAATTTCAGCCAAAATGATTTAAACCCCCAAACTTTTTCATGATGGTGTTGTACGAGAGCTTCAGTAAGCACCAGGCATAGACAGGGGATGGGGCAATTGAAATGTCTTAACTGACATTTTTAGAAATCTACTTAACTGACATTTAAAGAAATCTACTTTTTTACTGAATTCCAATATTAAGTTGTAGCACTACCTGGTGATTTTTTCTTAAGCACAGCTTTATTGTAATTATGCTGTGATCCTTCATATTCACAGTTGATGTTACTTTTAAAATTGCTTAAGAATAAAAATAAACCAAAGAACATGGGCTTAGTAGCTTTTCTCTGGTGTTTGGCAAACTCTGCTCTTAAGTTTGGGGACCTACCTGCTGACACCTTGAATTCTGAAGTGCTCCAAGGTCCTAATTTCTTTCATGATTTTATTATTTCCTCAGACTTTCTAAGCATTATTTACGTGTTCAAATTCTCATAATAAATTTTGTTTGGCCTTGGGATGCACAAAAGTGGATTTAAAGGGTGATAGATAAAGAGGGAAAAAAATAGTACTTCAAATTTTTGTTTTGATTGAAGAAGAGCAGATTTTCTACATATTTTAAAACTCCAAGTCCTTCTATTGTTCTCTTCTTGCCTCACTGGCAATTCAAATCTTCTTTGCCTTGAAGTAATATGAATTTCCAGAGTGGTAATGAAACAGTCTTATAAAAAGGGACTAAAAGTTTAATTGATTCATGGAAGAGTTTTTTAACATGCTCAAAACAATCTGTCTTGCAGTACATTACCCTAATCATTTGGTGGCAACAAACAGTCACCATAAAAAGGAAGTGATTCGATTACACCAGCCGACTAAAATGTTTTCATATTGCTGGAAGAAATGCCACGTTTCCTAATGAAGCATTAGGAAGGAAACAAGAAACATTTTTGACTAATGACAAATGCGGAAGAGGAAAATGTCTAAATTCTGAAAGTGCTTGTCTTTAAGGAATAAATACTGAGTCTTAGAGGGAAAAGGTGCTAGAAGAAAAAACCTGCTTGTCTCTCATGACGACAGACAGCTGTGTGAGTGCACCAAGGTACTCTGTGAAACAGGTAGCAATCCACCTCTAGACAAGCCAGCTCAGGTACCAGATTCTACCAATGCTGATACAGGGTCTCAGGCTAGCTGACATAAGTTGATTAAGTTAATGTGGGTTAATCAGGCAGCTCTTGTAGTTGTCTCACAGAGGCTGTTTATCAATACATATATGGTAGCGAGTTAACAGGTACTTCTAACTTAGCAGCTAGGATCTGTAGATCCTACCGGTTTGGGCTTCACTACTGGTGTGGGATGTGGTGGCATTGTGCATGTCCTATATTCCTTAGCCTGCATTGGGCTGTGTTGTGTAAAAAATAAAAATCTCTACTATTCATTAAAACACCTAAATTCATTACATTGCAGTCAGTCTATACAGAAACTTAAAATGTTGAGGAAATGCTTTTGCGGAGCACAACTGTGTAACTAAACTCTTTTCACAGGCATCTACGTCTCAGCGAACCATGATTTATTAGGGTTAAATACTTCAGAGTGCTACATTCTCCATTTATCAAATGAAGGGACAGATGCATAATCTTGAAAGCAACAATTGGCATTTCACATATGAAACTCCAAACAATGACAGCTAATTAATTATAGCTCATTTAAGCTGCAGAGTAAAACTGACTTCAGCTTTTACATTACACTTTCCTACAAAACAGATTTATTTTCCCCCAGACTTGTCGTGAGTGTGGGCTCTTCAGCTGGATGAGTCTTCAGATTGAGTCCTCAACATCTTTATGCGTTTTTCCAGCCTCTCCATCCATTCATTTCTGAGCCTAGGGACAGAAACATGGATCAGCTTGTCCCCATAATTTTACACGGAATAGATTTATACTTTTCATCTTTTTCACTGATGATATTCTTTAGTGCTCTTTCCCAATTGTCATGCAAATTTCCCTGCCCCTTTAGAGCTCTTTGCTGGATGGTACTTCAGGACAAGCTCTTAAATCCCAGTGAGGGATTACCTGAGCTTTGTTGTTCATCTCCATCTCCAGTGTGCCCTCTCTCGAGTTTGCCAGAGTGATTTGTCACCTGCACTGGAGATTGCCTGCTGCCATCTGCTGGGTCACATCACCCAGCACTTCCCCAGCCTCCCTCCTTCTCTGTCCTGCTCAGCTTGGAGAAACTGTACATCTTGAAGCTTCTGTTAGACATATAACAGGTAGCTTTCAGTAATATGTGGTTCTTTATTTTCTTTTTGATAGTATCTAGGTACCACAGAAAGACTTACTCAAGTAGAAAAGAGAGGAATTTCCCAGTTGAGGAGTGGCAACATTGAGATTAGGTTAGTCACAAATGGATAAAACCTGCTGGAGAATAATTCTAGCATTCCTTCATCCAGGGGTAGTAATGCAAGGCTGTCCTTGCTCTTAATTTTTCAAGTATCAATGCAAAGAGAATTGTGAGGAAGGCTTTGGGACATTGCTTTCTCACTGGATAACCTCAAGACAAAATATAATAAATAACAAAAGTACATATCTTTGCATATGTCTTCAAATAATGGAGATTTGATGTGAAGCAAAACTGTGCTGATCTTGCTGCAGACTGCTCTTTCTTACAGTGACTGATCAAGGGGAATGTGACTGAATAAGGTAGATATGGCTACAAATGGTGGTTGCCTCAGTCAGTATGTTTGGATCATTTGCTTTATAATGGATTTACCATGCACAAATTAAACAATCTTAAATAATTCAAACTATTTTTTTGTAAAAGCAAGACCACAGAGTAAGAATGTGGGCCAGTTACACATCTGTGCTTGCTTTGCTCTGAACAGAAGCCTTTATGTTCAAGACAAGACTGCAATGTTAATTGTCCTAGTAATTTCAGAAATTTCTGTGCTTTGAACTCATTTATGGAACCAAAGTGAATTATTCTCCTATCCTATGAAGTCATAGCTTAAACACATTAGCAATACATCCTAATTTGGGAAGTTTTATTATTTTCTATAAATCTAAATTACTTTCAGATTTCATTGCATGACTTAAGTATTGGTATTACTTTTTAAAGAAAAATAATTACAATGCAAACTCAAGTAAGCTTTCCAGATGCAGATTACCCACTTTGTCAGAGCACTTCTTCGCTGACGTTCTTTTTCATTTTGCAGATACTGAGTTTGTTGTTCAATGGTCTTTTCCCAGAAGTTCCTCAGGTCGCTGGTTTCACAACCCCGCACTTCATGACGCATGTATTGGCTATTCATTTTCTCTAAAGGAAAAATTTGAAACAACTGTATGACAAGTTACTGGTTCCTCATCTGTTTTCATGGCTGAAGCAGATTCTTGATGTTTTAGATTTTCAGCATAAGGGTCACACAGTCCTTTTTTTAGTAGGATCAGGATAACTGTTGGCATGACTCATTATTTAAGCTTTTCTTTCCTGGCTCTGACACTTGAGAATATGCTGTCTACAATGATCTGAATTCTTACTTTTGTACCTAAAATATCTTTACCTCCATCTGACTATGACGTTTACGCTCACAATCAGGACAGTGATCTTGTATTCTGTAATTTAGTAATTAGGATACTTTTTACTGTACTCACAAAGAGAAAAACAAGCAAAAAAAAAAATGGCCATATCAGATGGGATTTTTGGCCCCATTATTTTCATGTCTCGAAAATTTTAAAGTACCTATTGTTCTGATGATTTGCCTTTAATCATTCTGGCACCTAGCTTTATTTGGAAATGTAGAAAAGTTATATCTGTAAAAGTATGTACATAACTTCATAAGATTCTGAATTGCAAATCCCACGTTGTTTACTAATTATTTTCCCCTCTTCTTCAGATAGATTCAAATTCATTGAATATATTCTTGTATATGTGACAATTCTGTACTTTCAGCTTTAGTTAATGTCATCTTAAAATAAATTTTGGAGTGAATCTTATCCTAGGGAAAGAATATTTGCCTCAGGATGACTCTTTGTGGGTTAACAGTAAATTCCCTATATGCCATATTGCAGCCAGAAAATTGTATCATTACTTACAAAACTTCATTAAATATGAAATGAGTATATCCATGCTGTCTTTCAAATTGTTATGTGCTTTTGCATGAACATGCCATTACAATATTTTCCAGATAATTTAATTTTTTAACAAGTATTTAGGGCCCTCTCATGCATTGTTTGAATTCATGGAAATCATTTGTAATTTATTTTAATCAGAGCCATAGAGAGATAGTAAACAAGCCCCTCAAGACTAGCTTGGAAAAGCTTGAAGAAATTGCTGCCATTCCCCTGCCAGGCATCATAACAAAATACAAAACTGGGAACTGATAATCTTTACATAATTGGCTGTTTTGTGAAAAATTGACAGACACATTATAAAGATTCTGTGAGCAGAGGACAAAATCAACCCTTTTGAAGAGGTCCCCTTTTTGCTAGGATTTCCCTGTAACTCCCCTGTGGTTACCTGCAAAGACTTTGTGTGTCAGCTCATGGCCTCCAAATAATAGAAGCACAATGCTTGAGCCTGACTCTTGCAGAAAAGAATTACTAAGCATATTTTCTGGCCCTGAACAAGTTATAGCGGGATGTATAATTTTTGACATTAGTCTGTAATGTGAATTGCAAGTATTGCTGATCACCTACAGCTGTGCTAGGGGACAACCAATTTCAGGTCAAAAAGTTCCCTTAATACATGTGCATGTTTTCATAAAATTTGTGTATTCTATAAATATCCGCATGTATATCAATGCCAACCCAAATATTTCTTCCTAGGTGGCAGTTACTACCCTTTTAAACTTTTTGTGTACTAGGAGTAATCTTCAAAGGTATGAGAAAGATATGGTAAAAGCCATCTAAGTAAAACTAATGGACTTTCCACCCTAGGAATTAATCTCTAAGAATAATTATTTATGAAGTGCAGGAAGAAAAATTCCCCTATATACCTGGGGCTCCAACATAAACCGCCAGGAAAAGATGTCTTCAGGTTTCTTTATCAGAAGAGATAGCAAAGCATAATAGCTTCATCCTTCTGAATTATTATGAATTCCTGTCTAATACACTGTGGATGTATCTTTTATATATATATATATATATATATATATATATATATATATATATATGAGGGTAAATATCACTACTAAGGCAAAATTATGGAACTCGTTGCTATGAGGTATAATTGAGCCCAAGTGTATACTTCAGAATACACATATCCTTTACTGGTTTTTAATGTTATGCTTCCTGATTTGATTGTATGTGTTCTTGGTACTGGGTTTAATGCATTCTGTAGATGTGTCTTTCTAACACCTGCCCCCACAACAAAAAAAAACACAGAAAAAAATTTAAAGCCACTAAAAAGATATTCAGAAGTAGTTTCCACTGCTTTTCACTTTACATCTGGTGCTGGCAGTATTTAGAAGAATGTTAGAACTCTGTTGAGACTACAAAGTGTGTGTAATACTACACATTACAGCTTTGGAGGATTTTTTTTTTTTTTTTTTTTTTTTTTTTTTTTTTTGGGGGGGGGGGGGTCACCGGGCAAGGATTTTTTTTTTTTTTTTTTTTTGGGTGTGTGAGGTGTCCCAGAGACAGGAATTAGTACTTTTCTCTGTCTGTCATCTGTGTTATTTTCTTTGTGTGTGTTTGATCAAGCATACCATTATCAAAGTCACTCTTCTTTTCCAGCCTTTTGTATTGTCTTAAGATATGGATATCTTGGTGCCAAATTTTTTCTTCCTCAGTTCTTAATATGCTTTCTTTTCATTTCCCCTATGGCTGGAAAACTCTCAAATATGTATAAGTAGGATCAACGTTACTGAACACATCAGAAATTCTGCATCATTACTGATCCTTATATGTCATTGATAAACACAGTATGTAAATATGCCAGCATTTGCTTCTCTGAACTGTAGAATCACCTCATCCTAAATTGCCTTATAGTTTGAATTATCTGTTTGATCCTGTTCGTGGTGATTGTAAGAGCTGCACAATACCTCCACTGAAATAACTGACGTGGTTTCTTTTGCCTTTATGCATCATGTGCATAGATGTTTGAGTTCACCTCTGTCCTGCCATCCATTTTATAAACCATAAACTTTCAGTGCATGTGAGCAGTCAGGGATATCAGACTTAGTCTATCACTATTTCTCTAGCTCTCATATTTTTTTCTCCTACTTCAGCTGTTTTCAGAGGAGTGTAACAGGACTTAAGCCTGTATCATGACTCTGCAGCAGCAGTTATCACCTGGAAACAGTTTATTTCCATGCCTTGAAGCCTCATTCTGAGTAGTTAGGATAAGGGGCCTCATTTAATAGGGAAAGAGAAGAATGGAAAAGATTTCATGAAAGCAGTCTCCAAAGCAGCCTGAACAAATAATCTCAGTATGGTGCAACAGATGAGCAGAAATATACTATCAAAGCACACAGGCAGTTGTGATGCACTTTTATAGACCTTGAAGTTAGTTATGACTTAAACTGCCCTGCCACAGCTAGGGCTAAATAAGGTTTTTTAAGCATCTAGTGACAATCCCTCAAGAGAACAATAATGAGAGGCTCTTTCTGGTAATTTTCTCTGACAGAGGCGTGGTTGCAAGACAATGGACAAATGTAGATATTCTCAAATGAAAGGAATAACGTGATAACCTCTAGAAAGGCTTTATCCAACACATTATAACGATGACTACTTATTTTTAAATTTAATAATTTTAGAGCAGGTTGGTATTATCTAGCCTTAATTTGCTAAAGGAGGTCTTACAAAGGGAAACTGTGACATTAGTACTATTAGCTGGAGCTCAGAAATTATATTGGTAGAACAAAAGAGGGATGTAAGATCAGTTTGATATGACATCTCGACTTTTATGTAAAAGAAAAAAAATATCAATAGTTTGAGGTGAAAATTCACTGTTTCTGTGAGAAAATACTACCACCACCAGAAACACTTTTTCATGTAGAGAACTGGAAGTCAAAAGTTTCTTAGGCAGAAGAAAGAATGTACAGAAAAGTGTGGATTTTTTTCCTCCAGTAGAACACATTGTTATATGAAATGTAGTTTTAAAATTTATAAAACTTTTAATGAGACAGGAGAGCTATTTTTCCTCCTTCTTGTGTCTCTTACAAAGCACAGTCAGTCAGTGTTTTCAGGGTCTTATGCATTTCTTTAGAAATAATACAATATTTTATTGTTCTGACTTTAGTTGGATCATGCTTTGTGACTATGGTTATTATATATTAATTGAATTGTAAAAATTGAATTATGCATGTAAGAGACAATACTATCTATGCTAATGACACTGTTTGATGTAAAATCAATCAGAAATCTTTTTTGATTTTGGAAAAGAGGACTAGTAATCATATTCATGATTCCCCTCTTTTTCCTTGGGATCTAGGATATGTCATTTATCTTCTGCTTCTGTAGCTGGCAGTAATTCACATCTCAAAAGGCTCATAGATGCTTCCTTTTAGATCCTGCCTAGGGAAGCATGCTGGTTTCAAGTCTAACTTGGGTCTCCAGACTCTGGTTAAAACTCTTCAGAGGCAGAAGAGAGCACTTTAGTTTACTGCCCTGTACCCTTTGGTTTGTGTGGCATGTTGCACAGTGCAGTTTCTCTCATGAGTGCCACTCATGAGCAACTTGTGGGAGAGGTTTCTCACAGCTTGCTCTCACAGCTTCCTCTTCCTTTCTGCCTTGTTTATGAGCAGTTATGGGAGAAGATGAATCTGGAGAACCAGCCTGAGGATGGGGAAGGCTGCTATGGTCTTCTGGTGCATACAAGTCCTTAACTGTCCCAGTGCCTTCCAAAATTTCACTAGTGTATCTCACCAGCAAAGATGTGTGACTTTCCATGTGTACTGTAGGATTTTATTTTCATTTGCAGTTCGGCATTACTACCAATCTGTGCTTTTCCTTTGCAAACAGTATTGTCTGGAGTTTGCATGAAATGAGGGAATTGTAGGTACGGTATTTATTCTGTCACCAGTATTTCGTAGTTTGGCAGAGTTTGAAATATATGCTCTTACCAGAGTGTGTTCAGTCAGGGAGTTATTCTCTGGGTATAAATTTCAATCAATTTAATAGGATTTCTCCACATATTGGGAATTTTCTGTGTATGAAAATGACAACCATACTGACAGATGACTGAGCAATACAAGTAGGAGTTGCAGGTGTACATTTAGCAAATTATTTCTAACAGGTACATTAAACAGTTTTAATATTTGAAAATGTTTTCACTGAAGCACTGTGTAGCAATCTCTATTCAACCATTGTCCTTTCTCCTAATTCCCACAATCCTTTATTGCTCTTCTGTGAGAAGTGATGGATCTGAGTCTATTTTCTCTAATAAGGAGAATAGTTATTATTCAAATGCTTTGCAATTGTAGAAAATTTTGACAAACAAACATATTAAGACAAGGCTTGTGATAGCTATGTGGGTTTTGCATCTCATACTGCTACGGCATCTATATCAATGCCTTTGAATGCCATACACTATGTTTTATTCTGTCCTTCTCATCTAATGGGCTTCAGTTCTTTTCATCTGCTTTCACTTTTCTCTGGATATCAGACACCTGAGTGATGGAATTATCAAACTGGAGGGAACTGATTCTGTACCTTGATTTTCTGTACTAGAGGGCTCTGCAGCCCTCTGGCTGAAGACTAAAATTCTTAAAAGCTTTTGAACAAAACATTTGAGGAATCAATATTTTCATTTTCCTCTAGGTTACCCATTCATTTATAACTATCTTAGTTCTGCTCCCATGTCTGGTTTTTTATATTTTGCTACTTGCTGCATTCCTTTCTGCACTGTCTCTTCTTGATTCCATGAAAGGCCCCTTTGATTTTCCCTTCTCTGGCATCATGTCTATTGAGTTTCTCATCACATCCTCTTCACCTCCCATGCCAGCCTTCCTACGTAACCTGACTGATTTAGACCTGTGCTTTCAAACACCTTTCTGGCTGGTTTCCTCACCTCTGTTGTTCCATCTGGAAAATCTCTTTCCATTCTTGCTGGAGCTGCATTTGATAGAATGGTAAAGTAAGTTGAGTTGGAAGGGACGCACAAGGATCACAAGTCCGACTCCCAACCCTGCACTGCCCCAACCCCAGGAGTCATATCACTTGCCTGAGAAGACTGTCCCAATTTTTGAACTCTGTCAGGCTGGTGCTATGACGACTTCCCTGGGGATCCTGTTCCAGTCCCCAGACACCCTCTGTATGAAGAACCTTTTCCTGATAGCCAATTTAAACTTCTCCTGGCACAGCTTCATACCTTTCTCTTGTGTCCTGTCACTGGTCACAAGCGTGAAGAGATAAGTGTCTGTCCCTCCTTCTCCACTCATGAGGAAGTTGTCACTCATTGTGACTGCAATGAGTTCTATTCTCAGTCTCCTCCAGACCTAACAAATGAGGTGACCTCAGCTGCTTCTCATAAGGTTTCTCCTTCAGACCCTTCACCATCCTTGTTGCCCTCCTTTGGATGGTATTTAATAGTTTAATGTCTTTTTCACATTGTGATACCCGAAACTGCACTCATGCAGGTATTACTAAATGGTCCATGGATAACCTTTTCTTCACCCCTATACTACCCAGGTTTTTCTACTCCCTGCATCTGGCTCTCTGTGGCGGCTGCCTGCATTCCCATACATCCTGCCACCAGCACACACAAACAGGGCTGTGGTGGCAGTTGCATAGAGGTCAGCAATAAGCAAACAGGTATTCAGAAGTGACGTGCAACAAATAAATGTCCAGGTGCCTTTCCTGAACTTTCTATGTATTCATTTTACTCTTATTGACTTTTAATTTTCAGTGTCTAAGGCATATTTAAAGTGGCCGTAGTTTGCTCATGAGATCAAATGTTGTTTCTGATCATTAGATTTTCCCCACTGCTGGATACATTTGAAGCCTGCTCCTATGAACTACTGAATTCATAATATCAAGCATATAGGATAAATTAATAATTATTGGTCAAGGATCTTGAATGCACTTTGCTTTGTTGTTTGATTTTTGAGTACAGGAAGACTCAGTGTAGGATCAAAGAAGATAAATTTTGCCCAGAGCTCATGTCCTTTATTAGATCATCCAGTTCAGAGAAAACATGCAAGACAAACCTTTCCTCATTCATGAGAAGGTGTCTACCATTGAATCAAAATGCCTCAAGGCAACAGATTACAATTAAAAAGCCTTTGAGAGATGAGTGTAAGTGTTTGTGTGTGTGTGTGTGTGTAACCTTGGCTAGCATTAGCCCATCAGTTGAGAATGTACAGCCATATGTCTTGGTGTTTTATTCAGGATTGTGACATGGAAATTATCTATAAATATTTTTTCTGTATCAATGCTACTCAGCTTCCTTAGAATTCTGCTAAACTGGGCACTCTTCCCTGGCATTTTCCTCACACTCTCATCTTTCCTAGAATATACGTTTGTGAGAATTAAAGTTAGAGGACAAGCACATTTCTTGTTGACATTATTAGGGAAAACTCACTACAAAAAACAAATACTGTCTTACCTTTGGAGCAGGACTCTTCTTGCAAATAAATTCTCTGTGTGACACAAATGAGGAATATTATCACTGCAGCCGTGGCTTCTCCAGTGTCACAGGGCAGTAATGAAATGCATCCCTCGGTACTTTTTATTTGAAGTGTGGGTAACATAAATCCTTCATCATATCAAGGCTATTTTGAACAGAACCAACAGCGAGATAAGATCATTTAATGAACTTTGCAGCCCCCTGCCTGAGATGACCGTGAAACACAGGCCCCCTTGAGACCATGCATCCCTCCCACACTGGCAGATACCTCAAAGAGCATGACTTGGCAAGTGATGAGAATGTTCTTTAAAATGCCTGCTAGTGTTATCCATTTTAATAATCTTCCTATGAAGCTTGAAAAATTCCACACTACCGTCTTAGCTGTAATGGAGGCTGAAATGGTGTGACAAATCACACTCGGTTTTGCATTACAGGGTGACTTACAGAAGTATGCGCTACCTTGGTGTTATTTAACCTAAGGATGTGTGCTTGATTATGACCTATCACAAAATTTGTTCTCTTCAAGGCAATTGTCATAGGAATTGTCTGTGTGTTTAGCGTTAGCTCACGAAATGCATTAAAGCAGCACTACTTTTGCCATTTAGAGTTGTTATAAGTCTATTACAGATGAATGCATATATCATTACATTTCATTTTCTGAGGAAAATGTTTTGTAGGTTTAGCTGATGACAGATGCATGCACTTATCTCAGTTTTCATTAAATCCATCTACATTGCTAATGTCCCATATGTGATTCTGGCTTAAGTAGTTCTTATACAACTGCTGATTATTTTAACCTTACCTTTCTTTGTTGCAATTTTTCAGATCCCAAGTAGCAAAAGCAACAGCCATTAGATGGATGGTTTCTGTAATTCATATTTACTTTTTTACTTTTTCTGCAGTTTCCTTTACAGCACAAAAAACCTGTGCAAAACCTAGGAGCTACAGCGCTTCTCTGTAAAGGAAAATTTCAGTTATTTCAAAAACCTGGTTAATACCTGGTTAATTCCTAAGAAACAGTACCTATTAGCTTTCTCCAGTGTGTCCAATTCCACCTCATATCATATGAGAACACAGAAATCAACTTTTCCCTCCACACATGTGATAACAATGGTAATGTGGTCTCAGAGTTTTAGGACCATTATACTTATGAGGCATTGAAAAAAGAATACAACAACATATCATAGGTAAAACTGATTGTACTGTTTTTGGAAAAATAGCTCAGATTCTGGCTGGCTTTAGACATCACAAACAAATACAATCTGCTGGGTGAATATTAAAATAATATGGTATTATAAACAGAAGTTGAAGTCCAGGCTTGATGGGGAAATGGTGCTAACCACCATGGTGCTGCAGACCAGCAGAGCTGCTTCCTTGCCATGTGACTCAAAGCTTGAGTAATGTTTCCTTTTTGCTAGACACATCTTGCTAAATTTGCAATGAATTTGAGGGTTTGTTTCATTTCTAATGCCATAATGTAGTCAATACCTTCCATAAACCCTTTCAAAGATCGAATTTCAAGGGGGAACTGCAGTGTGCCAGCTTCATCAGACCAGACCATGTGTTTCTGGTCAGATATTTTCTAGAAGCATTGACATTTGCTCAGGTTAGATGCCCTGTGTAAAGGACAGTCAAAATGTGACAAGACATTGCACGTGCTCCGGTCATCTGCAGTAGATTAGGTACATTGTTTATTATACTTGCTGATTGTATTTACAATGAACATTTCATCTGTGCATTCACAGTGACCTCTTGTGAAAGACAAATGGTACATCCAGAAATCCTGGACAGAACTAGTACTCTGCTGGGCCACCCGTATGTGAAAAAAGTTCAGGTGACAAGTGACTGGAAAAACATGGTTCAGTCTCAAAAGCAGGGCAGCTTTTATATATAACCCGAAAACTATTCAGGTTGTTTGTACACCTCAGCCCATTTTTTACTTCATAAGCATATCTCACAGCTGCTTACCAAAAACTTCTTGGATAACAGCTCTCATCTCTAGTATGCAAAAATTCTAGTAAGCATCTGCTTAATGTGTTTGCAGAGACCACAGAAGAATCTGCAAAATAATGGATGGAATGTAGACCTTTGGGGCACTTGAGTTGTTACTTATCTGCAGGAATCAAATCCTGTCTTAGTGTTCTGACTGTGTGCTGTTCATGTGTGGGAGAGTTGGAAATAAAAGTAGCAGTCAGCTCTTACTCTTGCACAAGTAATCCTGGTACATTTAGTCTGTGTTTTGTCACCCTGGACCCTTCACTCTATGGGTATTCTTAGACCTGATGCTAAAGGAGAGGAGGTGAAAGGAAAAGACATTTCACAGAATCTTGCCAATTAAGTAAACATCTCATGTTTCTTTTCTCTTCGATGCTAGAGGAAATAAAATCAGGAGAGGTAAGATTTTAAGCAGATACTGTACCATGTTGTTGGGGTAACTTCCTTTGGTATTCACTGTGCACCTGGTATTCACATCCTTCTTGTTCTGGATTGATGCAATGGCAGCTAGAAAGTTGTGGAGAGGGATTTCTGTCACTACTGAACTGTGTCCTCATTGGTCCAGGAGCAGCACAGGTCACAGGAATTTTAGCTGCCCTCTTCAAGCTTCACAGATTCTAGAATGGAGCTGATTACTTAGATGGAAAGTAGGAGTCTGACCAGTTTAGGTGTCTTTCTGTAGTGGCTGGACCCTGTATGGATTCCAGACACCCATTAAAGCCTCTCTATCACTCTCCTTCACAAAAGGACAGGGGAGACAAAACATAATGAAGGTTCATGAGCTGAGGTGAAGACTGGGAGAGATTACTCAACAAATAGCGTCACAGGTAAAACAAACTTGAATAGGGGATATTAATTGAATTTATTACTCACAAAATCAGAGCAGGATAATGAGAAGTAAAGTAAATCTTAAAACCACCTTTCCCCTATTCCTCCCTTCTTCATGAACTCTACTTCCTCCCTTCCAGCAGCATGGGGAGATGGGGAATGGGGGTTACAGTCAGTTAACCACATATTTATGTCCCTGTTCAGAAAGAGTAGTCCTTCCCCTGCCCCAGAGTGGGGTCCATACCACAGGAGAGAGTTCTCCACAAACTTCTCCAATGTGAGTCCCTTTCATGGGTAACTGTCCTCCACAAACTGCTCCAACCTAGGTCACATGGTGCAGTCTTGCAAGGACAGGCCACAGGTCACAGATCCCACCAGAAAACCTGCTCCAGTCTGAGCTGCTCTCTCCACAGGTCTGCCAGGAGCCTGTTCCAGCAAGGACCTCCTAAGGGTTCACAGCCTCCTCTCAGGCATCCGCCTGCCCTGATGTACGTCTCCTTCATGGGCTGCAGGTGGATCTCAGCATCCCCATGGACCTCCATGGGCTGAGGGGCACAGCTGCCTCACCACGGACTACACCAAGGGCTGCATTGGAATCTCACCTCTGTTTCTTGAAGCAACTCCTCCCTCTCTTTCTGCACTGACCTTTGTGTCTACAGGGTTGTTATATACTCTCACTCTGCTCTTCTCTGGCTGCACTTACATCTGCACAATAACTATTTTTTCCATTAAATATGTTATTCCAGAAGTATTACCACCATTTCTAATTGACCCGCCTTGGCCAGTCGCACATTTGTCTTGGAAGCTGCCAGGGATTGGCTCTACTGGATACAGAATTTCTCATAGAAGACAACCTTGTGTCCTTTGCTGATACCAAAACCTGGCTGCACAAACCCACCACAGTACCTTCTGAAGAAAGCTGATTGTTAACTGATTTTCATGCTTCTGTAAATACTTGCAGGGTGAGTTTATTAAAATCTGCCTTGGAAAACCACCACTAGTCCTTTAGCATGTCAAGTACTCCAGAGTGGAAAAGCAGGCAGAATGATCATTGATGGACTGCCCTGAAGCCAATACCATGCAGGGGACACAATTTCCCTGTCCTCCTCTCGCACATGAATTGGTTTGAACGCTGCTATGTTGTGTTGGCATCTCTGAGAGTACATCTGGAGAAAATGCACCTGATTAAGAGGTTTTAGCTCTGCCTGCTGGGTATGACACTGAGTGTTGGACTAAAAATCGTCGTGACTGGATAACTGAAAGGGTTGCTTAATTTCACTGAGGTTTGCAAACTCATTTTTCCTCTCTTGGGCCATGCCTTGAATTGGGTGGTTGGAACCCGGTTAAATAACATCAAAAATTAAGTAGGAGCTGGAATTCCACTTCGCGTACAAGAATACCCTTTCATCTAAGCAGGATTTTTCCTCTGAGTGCATTCTCAATGGTGCGTACATCACACCATCCATGCCTATGACACACAATTGTTTTCTTTATAAATATCTCTTATAGGATAATCTCAAGGTCAGTAAAGTGGCAAAATGAAGAGCTTACATGTTTTACTAGCTGAATGAAGCTTATTGGCATCAGTTACATGACACCTGAAACATTTACACAAGCTGCTTAATGTTTATTGTAATCATGATATTGCCTTTGTGCAGTCAGAAAAATTAGATCCACTAGTAGCTTTTTGTAATGCTCTTATTAGTTGCCTACCTGAAGCTTTTCCATGCTTCTATTTTTTTCCAGGATTGTAAAGTTTTCAAGCAGTTTAAATTGTATGAAGCTGAAATGTAGACACTGGAGCTGCTAGATACACAGATGCTCCCTATGGAAGTGTAATTAGCCTGACTCTGTGCACTGCAGGGGAGAAGTTTATTGCAAAGAAAGGAAAAGACTGCCGGCATCACCTGATTTGTCTTAACATTTCTATGTGTTTGACACTACGTACCAGTCCAAGTGAAATTTGATAGTGACCTGTCCAGAAAGGCTTCCATGATGTGTTGCATTTTCCTGCAATTTTGACATGGATGATTTTCCATCTTATTACGACACAGGAGTTAGAAAAAAAATTGTTCTAGACACCCTCAGGCATCAGTTTAATGAGTGTAGGAAAGAGATTTTTGATCCTCTGTTAGAATCAGCCAATGCAGATCCTGCTCCAGTACACACATTGTTTGAGCTGGGCCATAAAAATTGTGGAGAGAAACGATACCTCAGTGGAGTAAACAACAT